CTGACACAATCACTGAAGACAAACGTGTGCATAACCAAATGTAGTGAAAAGAGCTAACAGTGCCCGGCTATCAAAAGATATAGCGTCTGGGGTCTTAAAGTTTGAAGATAAACAAGCGGCCATCCAGCTGAGAAGCATCAAAGCCCACGTGGAAGAATCACATCAGCCTGTCTGACCACGAGGTGCAGAAGGGACCAGTTATCAGACATCAAAAAACTAAAAATCAGATCATTGGGTGCCCACCTTCCTGAAAAGATCACTGAAAACAAAGGTGTGCATAAGCAAAGGACACTTGCTCTTGTGTAAATGTGGAAGCCAACCTGATTCCCAGGAGGTGTGGGGTTTTTTTTATGAGAGACATGGGTGAGTTCCCCCCACCCCCACCTGCCACCCTCTCTCTGCCCCTTCACCTTCCTGCTTGCTGGGGCGATGTGCCTGCCTCCAGAGGCAGCCCCAAATCAGCTGCCTGACTGTGAGAGCTGTTGGCACCCTGCCACGTTTCCACTGGTCTTTGACCCACTCCACTCTGCACCCACTAGCCTGTGACCTTCCTGCATTCTGCTTCACCTTTCTGCATCATGGGCCTGTAGCTTTGAGAATCTGAAGAGGACTCGAAGGGCCTCTTGGTGTAAGAGGACTTCTTGACATCAATCTCTTTCTTATACGTAAAAGAATGTCACTGGTTTTGTTTCTCTTGACAGCCCAGCCTAACATCCAGTGGAAGTCCTAAATTTATGAGACTCCACATAAATCCAACCTCCATTGAATTCTTTCTGATCAGTAACCAGCAGTGTGTATAGATTTGCCTTTGGGCAGTGTGCATTAGAGAGTGTATTGTTGTTGTCTCTGCACTAGCTAGTCCAGGGAGAATTGGTATAGCCCTTAGGAACTTGCCGGGGTGGGCCCTGTGTGAAAATTGGGGTGCTGGGGTCATGAGTCACATCTTGATTCCTTTGGTCTGGATGCACTGAGCCAATCTTGTAAACTCTTCTAACATTTAAGTGTCCAATCATGGTCCCATTACTGCTTCTGTAGTCCCCCTTGTAACTGTGATGTACTAAACTGCCCTTCTAATCTCCAAATCTCTTGAACATCATCTCCAAGCCCATTACAATCTCCTACTGATGATTTCCTTATCTGGTTTAATGTGTCTTTGTCTTGCCTTTTCTGGTTTACGACTTCAGAAATGTTCTTAAATTATATTTGAGATTTGGTGTCCATTTTGTATCCTAAAACAAGTGTTCATCTGTCCATAGTTCCCTAAATTTCTAATTTGCCAACTGCCAGTCAGAAAACTATAGCATTAGGTGACGACTTTGCCTTATAACTGTGTCTGCTCACTTTCAGCCCCTGTGGTGTGCCAGGTGTAAATTTACACACTGTGCATAGCCCTAGTTTGAACGGCTTTTGAGTAAACCTCTTCACTTTTATTTCAACAATGTGCACATTCTTACACTAACACACATTTAACTGTTACTTAACAAGTCATATTTATTCAACATTCAACTTATACTGTCAACCTTCTAAATTGAACTTAAAATTCAGATAAAATGAAAGAACAATTGTTATTCCTTGGGTAACAGTAATACATTTATTTCATTATAATTTGTTTTCATTCATAAAAAGGACAAAGCACAGTCCTATACTACCCCATTGAAAAAAAGATAAAAAATAACTAAAAAAACCAGTTCAATATTCATCAGTATTAAATAAAACTACTACCACTGTTCTTGAAATACAGAGAAACAGATGGCTCTATAGCTATCCAAAGTTAAGTAAGAATTTTGTATCTTCAAGCAGGCGGCGCAGTAGTTGGTTTGACTGCAGGTCAAAGCTGATGGTCCCCACATCTGTACAATCGTAGGAGGAAATGAAAGGCTCAAGTTACCAGTATATGAGTGACTTTAATCTACTTTATCTTTGCCACAAATTTAACATTAAACAACCTCCTGAGTCTACTTTGTCTTTCAGAACCATATCATGCAAAAATCTAACCAGTTTTGCTCTTTATTACCATATATTAGAAAATAAAAGGCAAGCATGCATTTGAGGGGAAATTAGTTGTTGTTGATTATATAAAAATGCCCAACATGGGTCACATTTGAAAAAAAGAATCTCAAAGTGTAACAATGAAAACACAAACATTTGTACAGAAGTCTTACAGAATATCTAGTATGAATACCTTTTGCTTTTTTCCCAATAGTTAAATATCTTATGAACTCTGATCATGATCATAAGACTGCTGACATATATTCCACTGGAAAATCATTCATTTAATTTATTTTAAAAAGCTTCATTTTATAACAAAGAGTTAAATGTAAACTAATGGAATATTTACTGGTATTTTTATAATGAAAGCTTTAAACATTTACACATAGATATATATTACAAAATTATACAAATTAAAGAAAGGGGGTAAAGTAGTAATAGATTTATTTTGCTTCCTGTAAATATTTCTCTCTTTTTTTATGAACCTATAAGGTATCCTTTCTAAAAAGATAAACTCTATCTCTAATTAGCTAGCAAGGTTGTGCTAATAAAATAGGAATATACCTCTTGAAGGATCATTGCACTATTTCACAAGCCAGCTAATCCTTTATTACTCAATTTCTTCAACATCCACACTCAAATGCGTTTCCGTGCACACCATGGAGAATGAAGCAATGTGTGTCTTCCTTGTCACAATTTATAAAAACCCAAAGCACAAATACTTGGGAGACAGCATCTTCCTGACGTCTTGACTCCCCTGCCCTTTGAGTTTCACGCACCTTTAGTTTTGCATACTCTTTAAAGTACCATTGGCAACATATTGATTTGGTATTTATAGCCAGTTTTCAATATTACATTGAAAAGGGAACCGAGTTTAAGAGCAAACTTTATATATATATATATTCATATATATATATGAATACTGTAGCTTTTCTACCTACAGATGTTCTCTTGATGCCACCCCTTCAATTAAAAACAAAACATTTTGCTTAGGAATGAAGCACAAAAACAAAGATGTTGAAATATTATTACAGTTGACCTTTGAACAACAAGAAGGTTAGGGTCACCAACCCTCTGGGGCAGTTGAAAATCCACATGAAAGTTTTGACTCCTGGAAAACTTAAATAGCTTGCTGTTGACCAGAAGCATGATTGGTGACATGAACAAGTAATTTACACATATTTTGGAACTTCCATGGATTACATTGTACCCACACAAAGGCTGCAATTCAATACAAGATTTTTTTAAAAGGCATTTTGCAAAAAGTGCAAGGGCTTTTGCACCCGCGGGCATAAAACATAACAGCCTCCCTGATTTCCTTTTCTTCTCTCACGATGCCCATCAAAAGGACTCATTTATCTTGAAACGGCAGGCAATTGCAGCCGCAGACCTCAATCTATGGTCCATATCCCACAATTCAACTTTTGCTTATGACGTCCTGACTTTCTCTGGATCGTGGGAGCACGTGCATCATTCCAGGGGCACTCCTTGTGGGTCTCAGCGTGTTATTCAGGGTTTACGGTAATGCACTAAACACAATTAAGCGATGCAAGCACCTCAAGAGACCATGTGTGACTGCGACACACAATAGAACAGAGCAGGAGACTGCCAGGTGGAGAGGAGGAGTGTCACAAGCCATTATAAACAGGTACTTGCAACACCTGAGCTCACCAAAATAGCAACGCGATTATTACAGTGATACAGTATGCACTAGTTAGGTTTATACAGTAATTATTTAATACTGCATCTTTATATTTGTTTATATTTCTCTTGATTGTGAGTGGTGGCATGGACAGTCTGCAAGTGTTTATGTGTGTGAGTTTTGATAAAATTTAACTTTTTATAATAGTTTGTGTATATTTTATGGGGTCAATAATAAAATAGAGCAATAGCTACATATATTTTATGCACTCCTTAGATACCTAACTTTGTTCCCCCCCCCTCCGATATTTCTAGGTTAGCCAATTTGTCTCTGAACTCTTTTCAAATTTGAAAAAAAACAAACCCAATCAATATATTTATTGAAAAAGTCAGTGTACAAGTGAATCCATGCAGTTCAAATCCAGGTTGCTCAATGGTCAACTGTGAGTCATCCTGATATTTACTCGACTTCATCTATTCCTAACTGTATAAAGACAGTCACAGCTCTCTAACTAAAGATCATGGAAGCACTCTACTTTTCAGAATTCATTTACAGATGAATGAAAATAAGTAATACGATGTTATGATAAGAAACATAAAGTACCTTCACAGTAGACTACAAAGTAAAGGAGAAAATTCCTTATGACTTGTTAAGAGAATTAAAATGCATTACTATCTATGAAAATCAAATAGTAAAAATTTGTTTACTTTGAAAATAAGAATACTGATAATAAACCTAGAATTTGGCTCTCAATATTAAAAATTTTCCAACTCACTCAGTAAAATGATATAGTATTGGGATTTACCTCAAGATGTCTTAGTGATATTCTTTCTTAGATTTTGGTTTGGTTTGGTTTGAAGACAACTCAAAATGTCATGAATGAGAGGGGCCATTCAAAAATATGCAGGACCCCAAACAGACCGGATAGAACGCGAGACTGAATTACTCTTACATCGACCACATACAATCAACATTTCAACCTCTATTATGTTTCACAACTTGTTATTAAATTGGAAGCACCTGTGTATGGTGATTTTATTTTCACTCTACAGCCTATAGTACTGAATTGAACACTGTCACTTGTCCCATTGGAATACATCATGCAACTGTCACAGAATCAGGTTAAGTGGTTTATAAGGCATATTGGAACGAATTAAAAATCATTTTCTATCCATTTGACGAGAAGTCCACTCTTTTGGATGAAGGTGTTCCCGAATGCCTCAGTCAAAACATGTGTTGTAAATCCGCTGAATAGTTTGTTGACGTATAATTTATTTGGCTGGGAGGGAGCCGCAGGAATTGGAAGGAATCGTCGTCCTCACAGGGATGGTGGGTGTTCACTGAGCTGGGTTGGGAACAGCAGCCATCACACCACATTCAGAATTCCAGGTACACCAGCATGCCGAGGGCAGGCAGCAGGAAGCCCAGAAGACTCTGTGTCAGAGTGGATGCACCTGTAAAGCAAACCGAAAGTGTGTGTGTATATCATTTCACGGGCAATGGTCACTGACGCTTTTTAGTTTGATTTGGGCGATCCAGATGGTGCAGTTCTGAATATCAGATGCTTCCTTTTATTCATTAACAAAAATTTTTAAAAAATGATCAAAAAGGTTTGAGGGTGAGCCTGTGGACTATTCACTGAACCTGTTTCCACAAATCATTTAAGCTCATAGATAGGCAGCCAAATATTTGTACTGCCCCCTAGGGTCCAGCCATTCGAAATTCCCAGCAGAAGCAAAAGGTCAATGTTTGGAGGCTGATAAATGAGTAGAAACCACATGTAAGCTTTTAAAAATGAAAATAAAATTAGAAAGGAACGCAGTAACAATAATGTTACCAGAGACAATGATATCATAGGAGCCAGGGTAGATCTTACACAATTTCTTATCCCAATGGTTTTAAGACGGCCAACCTGGTGCTTGTATGCAATGACTTCATGAATGAGTGTTTAATAATACTGAGTAACGTCCAATAAAGGAAATTGCTCTGAGGTCTAGACTAGACGTAAGAGTGATATCGCATTGTGAATCTACGTTGCATCTTCAGGGCTACATACAAGGAAGCACACCCCCATGGTAAAGAAAGAGTATGGATCTGGATTCTAGATTGGGAAAGGGTTGAGAAGTGGGACCTTCAGGTTTACTTTCCTTTGCATTCTTCACATGTACCACTCCTATATTCTGGAACCTGGCTTCTTAGGCTGCTTCTGCTGAATCGCTCATTAAGAACAAGTTCTTGTTCCCTATAAGGTGGGCAATTATTCTAGTCACCTGCATGCCCATCTTCTACTATTGCCCTGGCAGCAGACTCTAACACGGCACGGAAAACAGAGGAACATCATTCCTAGGCATAAATACCACGCTTCTTAGACCAGGGAAAGTCAGCAAGGGCCAAAAGTGATGTCCAAAAAGTAAGGGCAATTAACTGACCCTCAAGTAGCTGCTTGTAGTCTCATTAATGCAGGTGGAGCACCATGACACTGGCAGTGACAGCAACAGTGCTTAGGATCATGCCTACACTAGATGCCATTTGCTGTTCTACACTTATGGGAAGGGCAATCATTGTCGATGGGAAAGGACAGGCAACCACCAAAACGGTTTCAAATATGATTTGTTATTGTTGTACTTTTATAGGGTTTTTTTTTCCATAGATGTATTTAAAACATGCCAAAGCCCACAGGCTGTTTTATTCCTCCCATCACTTTTATGGATTTTATGGATTCTATCATTTGGATTCCGGTAAAATGACTCGCTCAATTCCTGGCCAAGAGGAAACAGAGACAAGATTCGATCTCAGATCTGCTGGATTACAAAAGCTGCACTTCCACATCTTTGTCATCATCCGACAGCCAACTGTAGAACGGGACCAATTCTAGAAACCCTTTACAATGACCTTCATCTGCCCGAGCAAGGAGGCAGGCTACCATCTATGCTGTTTCAAATAAGTTTGTTGTATTTTTCTAGGTTCTTTTAAATTTCTTTTTCCCTACAGAGATATATTAAAATATGCCACAGCCCACTGGCTCTTCTATTCCAATTACTTGATCAGTACCGACCCTCAATCTCACAGTTACACATTCGTTTTCAAGGTTTGACCTCAGTTAAGTGCTCTTTCCTGAAGACCTTTGTTTTCCTGAGTGTGAGCAATGCTCGGTCCACCGACCACAAATTACATCAGTGAGGGGCCCACAGTCATGTACTTGCCTGAATGTGTGGGTTGGCAAAGAAAAATCTATGGCCACAGAAAGAAGTTTCGCCAATGTGAATGCCGTCTTGAAGTCTTGGTGTTAGTATGAAACCCAAATACAATTTCACAATTTGTGGCTTTAACTTTAGGATATCTGATTTATTTAAAATAAACTCTTCATGTTTATGTGTGTTATATTTAATTTCTCTAATGGTTTGAGCTTATGTAATTGTGGGCTTCATCTACATTCTTCTACATGCCATGCACAAATTAGAGACCTGATTGAAATACTATTTAAAAACATTTTAAGTATGGAACTCTTATATCCTTGAGAGATTTTCAATATACATTGGTTTTCTATCCAACAAAGTGTGTATCATAATATTGCTAGGAAGCTGAATTTCAGTGTTTTTATGTAGTATTATAAATATATATTTTACTTTTCCACCAATCTGCTGATTCCCAAACATGAACAAATCATTAATCCTGTGAAGCATCTGATCCTAGCTGGAAAAATGTAAAACCAATTTAGAGTACTATGTGCCTCTTCTAGCAGACTAAGTTTTTAAAAAACTAAATTTCCCAGATGTATTACTTTCTTATGGGGGGCGGGGGGGGGCAGTATTCCTGTTACAGTGAGATACATAATGAAAACTAAAATTTTAATCAAAAGCACTTAACAGTCTCTGCAGGTTGTATAATATGCGTAGAATATCTCTATTAAGTTTTTAATATGTATCACCTTCCTAATGCTGAAAAGTGGACACTAATGTTTAATCCAAGTTGCTACTACTTGGCATTGCTGATAATGCTGTGCTGATTAGAATTTTCTCCTCTTCATATCGCTTTTTGTGTTTATAACTGTTAAAATGTCTATCCTGTCAACAATTTCAGGATGGACCCTAGATTTAAGTCATGTTAAAGAGCTCCGTTGCAGATGGAGTTAGGTTACAATTTAGTACTTCATCATTTGTTCTCCCATTTGATCCATTATTAAATGTATTCTAGTTTGTAATATTTTATGCTTTCTTCGTAATTGAGATGTTTCTGTTTTATTTTGTTATTATTGTTGTTTTCTTTTGTGTTGTAATGTTCACCCAAATTTTTAAAATGTATAGAATTTTTCCTGGGGCTTTGACTCCCTGGCTAAGCGGTGGTCACTGTATGATTCAGAGCCATGCGTTCCTGAGTCGTAGCTGCCAGGCACCCCAATCTTTGGATCTCTTACATTTATAAATCATGAAGGAGTTGCCCAAGGAAGTTACCTGAGGGAAAGACCGCCCCACCCAGATTTGGCTGGGGAGTTGTTCTCTACATTCAAGTCTACTCTGTCTGAGGGCAAAGCTGCTACACTACTGGCTAGTGGTCAGAAATCAAGTAGGATCTGAATTTGGAGTTAGGACACTCACTGCAAACCGTAGCCTTCCACAATTAAGCTATTTGGAATTTTAACTCTAATGCAAAAAATAGCAACCAATCCAGATGGAGTACTGCTACCCTTAGGCCCTCCTCAGAATTCTTCAGCAGGAACATAGCTCATTTTCCTCTCACTTTGTGCAATTCCTCTGTTCCTTTTGGATTTCTTTCCTTGTTGTCTCAGGTCTTGTGTAGGAATCACAGGGGGTTCTAACTGAACTGTAAATTCCTTTTCCATATATATGGGGGGGTGGAAATGCAAAATCGCAGGGGGGGTGGGGGGGTGGGGAGCCAGAATGAACTGGTTCAAGACCTAGTCACTAATCTCTGGAATTTGGGCTCTGGCTATGCTCCATCCCTGACTGCAGGAATAGCAATGGGGACTCTTAGGATGCCTGCCTTTTAGACAGGAAAGCTGAAGACTGAAAGGGGTGGTGGTGGTGGTGGTGGTTAGGTAAGTGGGTCCTGGATTATGGAACCCTGAACAAAATGGGGACTGGACGGATGGATGATACTATGTCCTTCTCGCCTATTTAACAGAGAGATGCTTATCTGCTCTGTGTCAGGATTCCTCTTAGACTTGGGACTATTCGTATGGTCTTTTCTGTTGGTGCTTATCTATACAAGATAGGCAGGATAGGCGATCCTAAGGAGGGGTGGGAGGTGGGGAGGTGACAGTGAGTCAATAAGGATGGGTGTAGTTTTTCTGGTTATGTTTGATCACCTGGATTATATCTGAGAGGAATTACTGAGGTGAACAGTGGGTAAACATGATAGTGGGGCAGGATGAAAGAAAAGAAAAGAGGAAAGAAGAAGAAAGGGAAAAAGATATGTATATCTATATATAAATATAATGATACGTAAATATATAAATATAGATGCATTTGTTTATATATGTTTATGTAACTACAGCAAGGAAACAGATGGACTTAAATCTTACCTAATTTCAAGAACAGTTTGTTCTAATAATGTCACATTGGATAATATTCACCTTCATAACACGATCATTGAAGACAAAATGGGTGTATACACAAATGTGGTGAAGAAAGCTGATGGTGCCCAGCTATTAGGAAATATAGAATCTGAAGTCTTAAGAGCTTGTAGTCAAACAAGTGGCCATCTAGAGCGGAAGCAACAAATTCCAAATGGAAGAAGCATACCAGCCTGCATAATCATGAGGTGTCCACAGGAATAGGTATCAGAAGTTTAAAACAAGCAACTAAATTGATGTGAAGGAGAGTGGATGTAGTGGAGACCCAAAACCCATCTGTGAGATAATTGGACAGTCCCTCTCAGAAGGGTCACATGGAAAGGATGATAAATCCAGAGCATGATATAATACTGATGACATATAACTATCCTCTAGTTCTTGAATATTTCCTTCCCCTTCGATTATGTTTTTTATTAACTTTATTGATTGATCACGTTAGACTTACATGTATGTTCATTTGTATAATAAAGAACTTTCAATACACGAAAGCCGAGATAGCTAACTCTTCAGAAACAGTAACAGGAGTAATGGTTCCCTGAGGCTATGGGAAGAGAGGTGAGTGGGAGGAGGGAATAGGAGCTCATAGTATTGATGACTGTAGAACCCCACTCTAAGGCAGTGAACAACAGAATTGTATGTGAATAGTTTTTTGGATGGTGTAAGATATGGCAAAAAGAAACAAACAAATAAGGGTTCCTGGGGGGCTGGGTTGGGGAGGAAGGAAATAAAGGGGAGCTGATATCAAGGAGCTGAAGAAGAAAGAAAATGTTTTGAAACAGATTGTGGTAGCACTTGTATAATACTGCTGTATATGACTGAATTTGAATTATGGTGTGTGATGCTATCTATAAGAGCCCCCAA